CAATTTTATAAAAAATTTTTAAAAATCGAAACTTCAATTTTTTAAAAATTTTTATAAAATTGTAGTAAAAGTATAGTTAAATAGTAGTAAAATTATAGTAAAATAGTAGTAAGTAGTAGTAGGTGTATTGCTATTTTGAAGTTACTTTAAAATTATAGCTACTATAAAGTATTTATATAGTTACTTTATAGTTACTCTAAAGTAGTTCTAAAAGTTGCTAAATTGGCTGTTTCTGTAAAGTATGGTAAGGAAGTAATAAATTTTCAAGAAATTGGTAAATTTTTATACAATTTATTAATCATTATAATAAATAAAGTTTATTAATAAAATAAATTTATATTTTTAAGAACTTTTGAAAATAGTGGTATTATAGCTATTTGTATATTTAAAGAGCAAGCTTTAAAATGGTTAGAAGTTGAATAGTTTCAAATTAATCTTTCTTTTAAATGAGTACATAGTGAATTTAAAAAGTTTGAAATTAATTATTATTTAGAACAATATAATAAAGGTATTTAATTAATTTAGTCAAATTTTTTATTAATTATTATATCTTAATTTTATTTTATTATTTATAGCACTTATATTTGCAAGAGTCTTTATTAATATTTGCAATGCAAATATATATTGCTGAATATTTAAATTATTATTTCAATATATTAAAAATTTAACAAATCATATATCTTCATTTTATCATATTCATAATTTCAGATAAAAATATATTATTAGTAATTTGGATCAAGAACAAGCTAAAGATCTTGAAATATATTTAGAAAAAATTGATCATACTAAAAATTAGAAAGAGCATTCTCAAGCAATTTTTAAAACATGTATAATACATTTTAATAGGTAATTTTAAAAAATTTTTAATAAATTAAATTAATTTTTTTATAAATTTCATCAATTTTAATATTATAAATTTAGAAATATAAAAAATAATAATTATTGTTATAAAGCAAAAGAGCTTATATATAAATTACCACAGTGTAAAAATAAAATAGAAGTAAATGAACTTTTTAAGCAATTTATTGATCTAAATCTAAATATTAAAGGTAAATAAAATTTTTAATTAATTTAAATTTTATTTTTATCTATATTAATTATAGGTTTTTATTAAATTTTGCAGGTTATAATATCACAGATTAATATTATCTTTAAAAAACAATTAAAATTATTATTAGTTAGGGTTAGAGTTTGAGCTAGTATTAGAATGCATATATATATACAAAATTAAGTGTTGAAAACTTTTAATTAAAAGCCCAAGACTAGTTTATATAATAAAATTTTGAGATATATAAATTTTTAAATTTTTCTTAATTTTTCTAATTTTTTGTTTATTTTTGTTATACAAGATCCTGTGATTTAATTTGTTAATCATAATTGACCTATGATATAGCAACTTGTGATATTTAACAATATCCTAATTATAAATTTATTTTTTAGATTAGGTTGAGTTTTATAGTGAAAATTAGATTTTAGCTTCATTAAATTCTATATGTTCTCAAATTTCTCTTGATATTTGATATAAAACTCCTCATAATACAAAATGTTGCAGAAAGTTGTCATACTAAAATTAACAAATATAGAACAAATCTTAATTTAAAAATTGTTATTGAAAGATAATTTATTTTTATTAAATATTTAAATTTTATAATAAATAATATTTATTAAATTATATTTTTAGAGCAAGATTAGATAATAATAAAACTTTTCATGTATTTAAAACTTATGACAAAAGTGATATTGCAATATATAGATCTAATCATAGAATTATATCAAGAGTAATAAAATCAGTTAAAAAAAACTAGTAAGTTTTTTAATTATATTTATTATAATAAAATTTATACAGTATTTTACTAAATATAATTAACTATATTAAAAATTAAAAGTATCTAAAAAAAGCAATTTAATGAAAAATCCAATTCAAAATATAGAAAAAAATCTTGCATATTATCTAAAAATCAAGATTTTTTAATAAATATTGAAGATGATTTAGATAAAATGAAATATAATATTATATTTTAAGAAAAAGAAATAGCTTTAAAAGAACGTGAAGCAGAACTTAAACTTAAACAAATTTTAATTAAAGAACAGTTATATTAAATCATACCACTGGTGTTAATACCAGTATCAGGTTATACAATTTAATTATGCATTCTTACATTTAGTTTACTATGTATAAAAATCATAAATCATATAACAAACATTAATATACTCTGCGCTTAAGTAAATAACCCTGTATTAATATTCATAGTCAAAATAAAAGTATAAAAGAAACTTCACTCTTTAAAATTTTAACTTTTGCTTCATTGTCACACAATAAATAAGTAGTTAATCATTTGTTTTATATGAAACCAAGTGATATTTATTTCTGCATTTATGAACCGAGTTCAAAGAAAATATAACTGTTGCCATATCAAGCTTATTTTCTGGCTTAAATATACTTAGTCTCTTTATGTTGGTATAACCTCTCATTACTTTTGTATGATAAATAGGTGTCAACTATTCATCTGCTCTTATCAATTTTTTTGTGAACCAAATGTAAATTACTGGGTTCAAGTTTATTTTACTGTGCTCAGTTTATTTTTTTTAACAAAGTTTCGCTTATTTTTAATCTACCTTGTTATTTACTGGCATGACAAATAAGTGTCTGGTTATTCATATATCTTAATAAATATCTAGTAACATTTTTTTTTCTTGATTAAGAGAATGTAAATATTGCTTTGTATTGTTATTTTTTTTGATATAAGATGCACCTTCTTTTTTTATTGATCATAAACTTGTTGTGTTTGATACATTATTTTAGCTTTAAACATCCTCTTGTCTTATCTACATTTACTTACTACTGCCCAATATAGTGTATGGTTACTAATTTACCTTTATTGGTTTATGTTATTTGTTCAATAAACTAATCTGTATTTTTTTGCTAGATTTAATCTTTCACGCATTACATAGGTGTTTAACTATTTTCCATTCAGATCAGTGCAAAATTATTTTTTTATGAATTAAGCATACCAAAGAAAACACTGAAACTAGTAAATTATAATTAAAGACAATAAATACGTTACTGATTTCAAATATTGCAGATGATTTTAATGAAAATACTTTTTCTGAATTCAACAATATGAATAACAAGAATTATTTTGCTGAAAATGCTCTTTTTGAATTTAATGATATGAATAATGAACTGTTAGTATTCAATGAGGTTTCTTATTTAACAGAAGTTACTGAATTAAATATAGTTGAAGCTATAGAAGGTAATAAAGATGCAACTGAAACCATAAAAGGTGCTAAAGATATAACAAAAGCTATAGAAGATAATGAAGATGATAGCAAAAAGATTTTATACCCTATTACATTGAATATAGTTTTTACAAATTGGAAGGAGTTAGATGGGTAAGCAATTAATTATATTTTTTTTTGATATCCTTTTGATATCTATTATTTAGTATTAGTATTAAATATTTTTTATTATTATTACTCAGGTGGTTTAAAAATCATAGATTAGAACACAGTTTTGTATTTACTATTATCTATAGTGAAAATGACAAAGATGATAGAATTCTCTGACACCATGTTTATCGATATATGAGAAGCAGGTTATATGTTTAAAAAAAAGAAGCACATAGTACTGAGGAATGTAATTGAGGTCATCATAGCAGTAATTGTGGATTTTGTATAAATACATACTGATGTAAAGGTGATAACATGATTCATATATTGAAAATTGATAGCTAGCATGATTATACACTTATAAGAAATATCGAAATAGTTGCAGCTTATTATAGAAGGCTTACTTCTGAAATGTGTAAAGAAATACAAATACTTATATCTAGTAGAGTGTGTGCTGAGGCAATTATTGAAGTTTTATAAAAAAAATTCTGAAAAGTATATTCATACACGCAATATATATAATGCAATTCAACTGTTATATGACTATAACAAAACAGTAAGTGATGCTAGGCAATGTTTCTTGAACTTTTAAAGTAGCACAAACAAATCCTACATTTTATATTAATACCCAATTCGAAGGTTATGACAACTATCTTACAAGACTTTCTGAATGAGCCCAAGTCAACAACAGTTATGGGCTAGTTTTCACGATGTTGTTTTACTTAATACTACAGCAAAAACTAATTAGCACTTGATGGTTTATGTGTTATTATTTTAATTGATAATCACAATCGTTCATGCCTCATGGCTTCTGCAGTCATTTCAGCTGAAACTAAAGATATATTTACATAGTTATTTACTAATATATTTAAGGCTACTGGTGAATTAGCATTACATCTAATATATACAGATGCCGACCTAGCAATGATTGTGGCTATAAGCAGTTCTTTACCAATGACAAAGCATACTTTTGCTTGTTTCATATTCGTAAAAACTTAAAAAAACATTTTCTTAGCAGATACTATAACAATTGGCGATCTTTTTTTAAAGACTTCTGTAGTACACATAATAGTTGTATTAAATCAATCTTTAAAAAAAGATGGGATGAATTGTTACAAAAATATACTAATGCTTCTAGTTATTTACAATCTCAACTTTATCAGCATAGGGAAGCTTGGGCACTATGCTTTACATATCATGCATTTAATGCAGGTATGCAAAACACACAACAGGTTAAGTCATACAATGCAATAATTAAGTCTCAAATAAATATAATATCAAGTCTTTTGGGACTGGAACATAATATTAAGAAACTATTAGAAAGAGTGAGTTGTTTTGTGCGTTTTAATGAAATTGTTAAACAGCTTCTCCTTAATTATGAGGAGAGTTACTATAGTAGATATTTTAATATGTTGATATATCATGTCAGAATTTTTTAACATCTGCAATTCTAAAACTCCAATGCAATGAAATCAATTATAGCATACACTATCGATATTATATAAGTATTTTAACAGACAAGTTTGGGCTATATGTAAGGATTACTGTATAGTTGAATCTCTATATTATCACTAAGTCCATCGCACCCTATTTTGGTGATTGTATAGAGGTGTGACTATAAACAAATATCAGATTAATATCACATGATCTTCAAACAATCAATGATTAATTGATAATTCGTTAGTCATAATCGTCCTACATCTAAAAGTTTTTTTTTGTACTAAGTTAACCACCTTTGAGCCTCTAAGTAAAGTTGTAGAGCTTATTAAGACGAATCTAATGGTGGTTAAATCATCAAAATCAACCTAGTGGTTGGTAAGATATCTTTGAAAAACATTTTATCTATTATATAAATTCTTTGTAAACAATATAAAGAATTTACCTATAGTTAGCAAAACATTTTTGAAGATATCTCAGCATTCACTAGGCCAATTTTGATAATTTAACTACCATTAGATTCATCTTAATGAGCTCTACAACTTTACTTAGAGACTTAAAGATAATTAACTTAGTCAAAAAACTTTTCAATTAATAAATAAGTAATTATAAAGAGGTTTTTTATTAATAAATTTAACTTAAAAATTAGATTTTAAGATGATAGTGATTATAAGTAATTTGTGACTATAATGAGGTTTTTTACTATATTTTAAGTCTGTCACACAAATTGGGTGCTTAAATAGAGGTGTGACTATATGGGGTGTGATTATAGAGAGGTTTGACTATATAATTTATTTTCCTTGTAGGTATTTCGCTACAACTATTTACCTTACATCACTTGAGTGACAATTTACTATACTGAAACTATTAACATACTAAATTGTCAGCTATATATTGTTAGATAAATGGAAATGATTGTTAGGATTATAGTAAGAATAATGATAAGGCTAAAATTTCTTATATTGTTTTTTATAGTTTAATAATAAATCACCAGATGGAATGTTCTCGAAGACATGTTTGATACAAATATCATTGAATTAAAAAAATTAATAGATGGTCTTGAGTTTGCAAGAATTAGTGAAATTTGGCGAGTTTTCTCATTAGATAGAAAAAGCATATATTTTGTTGTGCTCTATTATGATGTTTCATATTTATGCACATGCTTGACTTTGATAAATCGTGGTCTTGTATGTTATCACTTTTTTGTAGTAATGCTTGCTTTAAAGACTGCAAAATTTTATATCAGACTTATACCATGATGTTGGTACTGAGATACATTAATTGAGAATATTTCAGAACTTAGTGATAAGGCCATAATTTTGCTAGTTTCAAATAATGAGCCAGAGCATACTATGCAAATTGATTTTTCTTATTTAAAGAGTATTCGTGAAAATCATATTTTTACTAAGCCTGTTAATAATGAAATGAGACATAGGCAGCAATAAGGGAAAGGGTTTGGTATGCTAAAAAAGGCTCTCAACTTAGTGATTATAACAAATAGATCAGATGAGTTTTATGAAATTCATGAGAAACTAATTATAGAAATGGAAAAAGAAATTGAAAATCAACAAAATCAGGCTGTAGAAGATAATAATCTTGAGGCATTCGTTCAAATTATAAATAATTCAAACAGTATTAAGACAAAAGGTAGACCAGATAAACAAATCAAGGCTTTTAATGATTCAACGAACATAATAGATAACAAGAAAGGTAAAAATAAAGTGTTTAAAATTAATCAGGATCAAAATAACAACATAGTATGTAATAAAACTAGTTCAAGTATGTATTAAAAATGTAATAGAAACCATTACGGCTTATGTTATAACCATTTAAAACTTATATTATAACTAGTTATAATATAAACCGTAATAGTTTCTAATATATCTCTAGTATGTATTGGTCATTTTTTAATTATATAATTAGGTAAAGTTTAGACAAATCTGAGACATAAGCTAATATACACAAAAGCAAAATATAAAAGTTGTGGTTTTAATAGTTATAACATAAAAACTTGCTTGGATTTTGTAGAATATAATATTAAAATAGAATCTATAAGTGATACAGAAACTAATATCAACAAAAGAAAATATAAAAATTGTGGTTTGAGTGGACATAATGCACGAATATGTTTCAATTTTATAGAATACAATGATGCTGAACTAGACTATATAAGCGATATACAAGAAGCTAATACAAGCAAGAGAAAATGTAGCAATTGCAAGTAATATGGAAGATACAAACAAGAGAAAATATGAATTTGTAGTTTAGGAAGCCATAACATATGAACTTGTCCAGTTTAAATCATAAGGGTCAAATTTTATGTGTGGATAGAAGAAATATTGAGCTATCATTATATATTGTAGATATTAACCATTTGGATATTGATATAGGTTTCAATATATTTTAAAATATTATGAATAACTAGACTATATATAATGATAAGTTTAATTTGTTATTAACCTAAAAGTTTTGTGCCTGTATACCAATTAAATTATACATATGATCTTTATATAATATGATATATTGTCTATGCTGGGATTTTGTCTATCGATTCATTGAAACCTTTTAGCATATAGTACCAAGTATAATTCATTAGAAATAAACGTAGTACTAAAAATTTTTTTAAAATATCATAGTTATCATTACATAATATATAACTACATTTAAATAATAGCTATACATTAGTAGCTGGTAGAATAAAATTTGGTCAAAAAAGTTTTTTTACTAGTGCTAAAAGTTTACCAATCTTGATTAAGAATTTACTATATAGTTTGTTTCAATAAAATATACTAAAAAAACTACTGTACTGTACTGTGCTTAGTACCAGGTATGACAAATAATGCAGATCAATTTTTATAATATTATTTATATAGTAAAACTTATATCATACCAGATACTAAAGGCAATGCAGTATGCCATTAAAGATATAAAGTTACAAATACATGATCTTTATTAAAGCTTATTTAGGTTTGGGTTAGGGTTTATATTAAGGTTTGGATTAGAGGTTTTAATAGCAAAATTGCTCAAAAAAAAACTTTTTGTTAATGCACAGAAGGTGGTTTCCTATGCAAAATCTCGAGTTACAAGCAATTTTTGACAATACAAACACTTGTTTTGAAATTTCTTGACTGTGTAATGTTATATCTAATCTTGTTTATTAATTATTATGTGATGTAATATAAGTATAAAGTAGGTCACATGATTTTCAGAACTAGAATATTTATTTTGATTGTGTAATATTACATCTAATTTTATTTATTAATTATCATGTAATGTAATATAACTTATAAAGTATGTCACATGATTTTTGGAACTGGTATTAGCACCAGTGATATGATTTAGTAAAACTGTTAAAGAAAAACAAATTAAATTAAATATTATAGATGAATAAATAAATAACTATAATATTATTATATTTGTTTATAATTATAGATTCTATACAATTGTTGCTAATATTATTATTATATATAAAAGTTATTAAAGTTTTAAATATTAATTTTAATATTTTAAACTTTATTAAATAATAGAGATTTTAATAAAATTAACCTAACTGATTTGCTTAAATATCAG